ACACACACACACACACTTCAAATCCAGCCAGGGCAATTTAGCAACTGAGCAAAAACCTTGCCTCAAAATAAAAAATAAAAGCTCAGTGGAAAGGCTCTGTGAGCAATCTCTAGTACTTTGTTAATAGTCTCCGTTATGATTTATCTCTACCTCCCCTCATGCGCTCAGAGGTGGGGCTCTGGGGAGCTGATTGGATCAGGGGCGTGTACTCACGGGTCCATCAGTCCAGGAGTTGATAGCTGAGCGCGCTGTCAGCAGCAGGTCTTGGTCCCAGAGGCTGGGTGCCTGCGGGCCAGGCTTGGCAGGGTCCACTCCCATCCCTGCTCCTCCCTTCAGTCTCTGCTTCCTGCCTTCCTCCGCCTTGTTTTTCTTCTTTGGAGCTGGCTGAGCCTGGACTCAAACAAGAGCCAAAATAAATGTCTCTTCCTTGGGGTGATGGGTGTTGGGCGTCGTGTGGCCATGAGGAGGCACGTGACTAAGACCGTCTCTTATCTCCCTAAGAACTTGCTTCACAGACCTACTTTTCTCTTTTATTCCAATGAGGAGTCCCACAGCTTTCTCTATGAAATTTAATTTTTTTTCTCATTTGAATCCCCCAAACAACCCATGACTCCCCAATTAGTTACAGCTTTTGCTTTTGAAACATTCATTTATTCCTCAAATTTATTTATTCCTCAACCTGCATAAAGTGGCAGCTTAGTGTCACTTAGTTCCAAATCTACTCTTCTTGGCCCGGCTTTCTGAAATCACCTGGACCCTGTAAACATTTCTTCTCCCCGCCACCTCAGCAAGGTCAGGCCTTGGGCTGACAGGAACTCTGCCGAGGCAGGGCAGGGCTCCTGTGTTAGCTGAGGGCATCTTTCTTCTCCACGCTAAAGTGCAGCTTCCAGCAAGTGCTGCTGCCACCCTGGTTGGTAGCCTCTGAACGGGCAGCCAAGTCTGTGGTACACTGGGGAACCTCAGTACGCGGGGGCCGCAGACATATTCTCTCCAGATAGGTCTCAGTGTTGGTGGGGACGGGAGAGACACGGAGCCTCACAACTTTTTCTTTTGGTACCAGGAATCGAACTCAGGCCCTTGTGCTTGCCGGGCAGGCGCTGTACCCGCTGAGCTACATCCCAGCCCACTTTTTCTTTTCTTGAGTGCTCTCCGTCCACCTCAGAGCAGCTGCTCCTGTTTTGTTTGCCACTTCTACACTTTCCATTCTTATTTTCTTTGAGCTCTCTTTCACCGTTTTAGTAAACACTAAAGATGGTTATTTTTATTTTGGTTTTTTTTTTTTTTTCAGACAGGGTCTCGCTATGTAGCCCAGGCTGGCCTCAAACTCACAGCAACCTTCCTGCCTCAGCCTCCCAAGTGCGGGGATTACAGGTGTGCACCACTATGCCTGCTTCAGTGATGATTAATTTTATATGTCAACTTGGAGGGTTTTTTTTTTTTTTTTTTTTCTGTGAGGTAAACATTAAAATCTGCGAACTGGGGGCTGGGGATTTAG